AGTAGTAGTAGTAGTAGTAGTAGTAGTAGTAGTAGTAGTAGTAGTAGTAGTAGTAGTAGTAGTAGTAGTAGTAGTAGTAGTAGTAGTAGTAGTAGTAGTAGTAGTAGTAGTAGTAGTAGTAGCAGTAGTGGCAGCAGTTGCGCGCAGCGCTTGGGATAACACGGTCGTGTGGACTGCGCGGCGGCTGGAAAAGAAAATCGTCATCATCAGCATCATCATAATCACGATCATCCCCATCATGGTCGCCATCGCTCTACACGCAAGGACACGTGCAGGCGGACAATCATAATCATCATCATCATCATCATCAACGTCATCATCAACAATATAAACATATTAATCGTCATCGGTCTCTGCAAACTGACGTCCATACGGGCAGATTCTCAAAATTTTCCCCCTGGGTGCTCCGAAACTGGGGGTTTTGGAGGCACGATGATCCTCCCCAGACATCTCGGCGAGGCTCTGTTGCACTTCAACTTGCGTACCAGAGGTCCGTGTTCGCTGTTCCACTTCGGAGGTCCTCGGCGTGTGCGCTCTCGTTCTGGTGTGTCACGCTCCTGGGCTGCCCTCCCCCCGCGCTCCGCCCCGTGCGGGGCGCTGGCTTCCGCTTTCACGCCCCTCGCCGACCCCTGGGGAGGAACTCTCTATTCCTCTCTCTCTCTTTCTCTCTCTCTGTTCCGAAAACCTCATCCTCCCCCTCTTCCTCGAAAACATCCTCCTCCTCCTCCGTCATCGTCATTGGAGAGGAGCTTTCCCTCCCTCTCGTCTCTCTCTCTCTCTTTCTCTCTCTCTCTCTCTCTCTCTCTCTCTCTCTTTGTTCCCAAAGCCCGCTGAACAACGCATGACGAAATGCACGCGCGCGCGTCGTCGCGCGCGCATGCCTGGACCCTTCCAAAACCCTTTGGGTCCCGTAGAGGCGTCAAGACCGAGCGCCCCGAAACAATGTCGTAGCCATCCTCAATCTGTCAATCCGAATGCTCAGAACATGTATGCGCGTTCCTGCGAATCCGTGGTGGAACCATCGGTTTCTGAGGGATTTCATCCAACCCGCCCAGCGGGCCTCTTTCGCGCGCGTGTCGAAGTCATTCGAACGCCCTTGCCGCGTTCTGGGGCACTGTCTCTCTCAAAAACACCATGCAAGCCACTCGGGCGCGTCGGCCGCGCGCGCATGCCGAAAGACTGCCAACACTGTCATGGCCGACGCGTGGACACCAGCATCGTGATCGGCGTGATCAGCATCGGCGCCATGACTGGCCTTGCCGTCGTATCGTATGGTTGCCACAAGCATCGCTACTATCATCATCATGTCTGCCGTTGTCGACCTCGCCATGATATCGAGCCCGCCCGAATCACCGACTCGCACTGACGTGTCCGCGCGTCAGGGCGGCCTGCGAGACGAGCTGGGAAGTCTCCAATGGTCAGCGCCACCGCAGCCGCGTCGGTCGCCAGGCTAGCTGGCCGCTCTGCGCGCGAGCCTGCGCGCGCCAGCGCGGCCGCAGCGATGCGCCAGCCAGCGGCAAGCAGTCATCGCAGTCGCCGCCGCACGAAGTCCGCAAACCAAGTTGTGGGTTGGTGGGTGGGATGCTTGCGCGAGCAGTGGAGGGACAACTTCAAGTCTGGCAGGGTGGAGCACACCTCATAGATCACACTACACAGCTGACACCTGCATACCGCAACATCATATCAGCGTTTGGGGTCCAAGCTGGAAGACAACTGTATGTGTACACGTAAACGGTGCGTGCAGATGTGCCTGTGTGTGTGTGTGTGGGAAGATGGTGCTCCTCATACATTACACCACGGATATTGCACCACACACGCTGCGTCACAACATTTGCACCACATTTATTACACATCCAAAATGCAATACTTCACTGTGTGGGGTCCACGCCAGCAAGCATGGAAGCGTTATGTGGCAACACGGGAAGGAAGAGAAGGAAAAAAGAGAAGGACACAACCGGAGGGAGGTAGGAACAGCGTATCGAGGCAGAAGGAAGATACATGAGAAGGGTAGGGCGGCAGCAGGACACGATTGAGGAGGGATGAAGGAAGGAGAAGGGAGGAGGAGGGGGGGGGGAGAGGGGGAAGAGGAAGACTGATGATAAACGCCCGCACGTTGGGTGTGGAACGAACGTCGGGATGACGGCGAGGACGAAGAAAGAGGACCCGGGAAGTGTGACGATCCATGACAAGTCGCTAGATGGTGAGCAGGAGATGCAAAAAAGGGCCCTGCACATGCAACGGCACGCGGCTCCTGCCCCGAGGGAGTGGGGCAAAATGCTCGGGAGCGCACCGGGGAGGTGACAACCACAGTACCAGCAGGGAGCAGCCGGGCGCTGCCTTGCGCCAGCGCTCTGACCCACGCTCGACCAAGCAGAAACTCAAGACCTCTCACCATGGCAAGGTATTAGGTAATACCAGCACGGACACGACGCAGGACAGCACCGCTTTTGGCGGGACATTAACATCGCCCATGCAGTACAGACAGAGTAGCCCGATTCAATTCCCTGTCGTCTTCCCTCCCTGCACCTGCCCCCTCACTCGCTCACACGGGCTCTCCTGGCCAGAGTCCGATTGAACTCAGTCCTCAAACCCCTCAGGGAGGCTTTCCACACATGTCGGGCCGCGTTCCCCTGTGGCCACGATGGAGTTCCACGAAAGCCGCGAAACAATGACCGGCATACCAGAAGCTTCCTCCCCCACCCCACTCCACCCCTCCTCCTTCGCCCTACCCATACTCATGAGACTTCTGTTGCTCATTCCTCTCTTCATTTGACATGCAAGTCGGAGAGGACCACTCGGACAATCCGTCCTGGACAGCCTCGACGTTATCCCTTCTGATGGCCAAACTTATTGGCTGTATGCTGCCGCAGCTTATCTTCCTCCTCGCCCGCGTACGTTCCGTCTCATACGCACCCGAGACCCCCCTCTAGATTGTTCTCCATTCCCTCATCCTCGTTGGCACCTTACCATTACCGATCCTACTAGGACCATCCTCCAGCTAGTAAGGAGGTTGTGGGTGACGGGCGCAGTATACACTGGTCGATGGCATCGTGTCATGTTCGCGATGTATGCGTATGAGCACCACGCTGCGTAGCTGTGTATATGTTCCGTTTCTCCGCAGCTGCCGCTGTGCATATGCCGCCACATATGTATGCCTCACTGGAGCACGTCAGTACAACCAACGATGTGCGTATAGTCACTAATATGGTTGCCCCCTCAAGGATCACACATCTCGTCTTGAACCTGCATTCATCCTCATCTCCCTCCTACTCATCTTTACAACGTTTATCTTCAGTATGTCTGCGCATCATCCTTCTCCTCAGTCCCCCTTTCGTGCGATTCCTCTATCGTGTCCACTGCTGTCCCCTCGTGTCCCCTGCTGTCAGCTCGTGTCCCCCTCGTGTCCCCTGCTGTCCCCTCGTGTCCCCTGCTGTCCCCTCGTGTCCCCGTGTCCCCCTCGTGTCTCCTGCTGTCCCCTATTCCAATTGAAACCCCCGCCAAGAAGCTTCCCATTAAAATCCCGGATCGCGGGGGGGTGAGAGAGCGGGAGAGCGAGAGCGGAATAGCGAGAGAGCGGGAGAGCGGGGGAGCGGGAGAGCGGAGAGAAGGATTCAAATTGGAATCATCATCAAACATTTTCCGATTGAAATCCTCTTCAAGAAGATCCCACTTAAAATCCTCATCCAAAGCATTCCACTTGAAATTATCTTCAAAAGGATTCCACCGGAAATCCGCCTCAAACGGATTCCTTTTGAAGGTCTGCTGAAGCGGAATCACATTGAAATGTTCTTTCAAAGAGACTACAATTGAAATCAAAGATAAGATTCCGTTTGAAATCTTCATCAAAAGGATTCCACGATAAATCCTCTTTAGAAGGGTTGCACTCGGAATCATATTCGACAGGATTCCACCTCATATCCTTTCAAAAGGATCCCTCGTGTAATCCTGGAGAGCAAGAGAGCAGGAGAGCGGGAGAGCGGGAGAGCAGGGGAGCGGGAGCGCGGGATAACTGGTAAGCAGGAGAGCGGAGAGGAGGATTCACATTGAAAGCGTCACCAAAAAAATCCGATAGGAATCCTTCTCACAAGGATTCCACTTGAAATCGCCTTCCAAAAGGATTACAATTGAAATTTCGGAGGGCGGGAGAGCGGAGAGAAGGATTCCAACTGAAAGCTTCCTCAAAAGGACTATACTGGAAAACCTTGGAAGAAGGGTTCCAAGTGAAATCCCCATCAAAAGGATTCCAATTGAAATCCTCCTCAAAAGGGTTCTCCTTGAAATTCTCACCGCAAGGATTCTAATTGAAATCCTCATTAAAAGTTTTCTCATTGAAACCATCATCAGAATGGCTCCGGTTGAAATTCTCTTCAAAAAGATTCTACGTGAAATCCTCGGAAGGATTCCAACTGAAATCCTCTTCAAAAATAATCACATTGAAATCCACCTCAAACGGATAGCAATTGAAACCCCCTTATCAAAAGAATTCCTATTGAAATCCTGGAGAGCGGGAGAGCGGAAAAGCGGGAGAACGGGAGAGCGGATAGAAGGATTTGAATTGGGATCCTCGGTACAAGGATTTCTATTGAAATCCTCATAACAAGGATTCATATCGAAATCCTCTTCAAAAGGACTCCAATTGAAATCCACATTGAAAGGATTCCACTTGGAATCTTCCCCAAAAAGAATCCAAGTCAATCTCTTTCGAACAGGTTCCGACTTCAGCAAATTCAGCTGGAAACCTCTTGGGAAGGATCCCACTTTGGATCCTTCTGGAAAAGATTCATTTGGAATCCTTCTCTCCGTCCTTCCGCTCCCACGCTCTCCTGCTCTCCCGCCCTCCCGTCCCCCGCTCCCCCGCTCTCCCGCTATCCTACTCTCTTGCTCTCCAGGATAACAATAGGAATCCTTTGAAGAGGATTTCGAGTGAAACCCTTTTGAGGAGGATTTCACTTTGAATCCTTCTGAAGAAGATTTCAATATGAATCCGTTTGAAGAGGACTTCAAGTGGAATCCTTTTGAAAGAAGATTTCACATGGAATCCGTTTGAGCAGACCTTCGAAAGGAATCCGTTTGAGGAGGATTCCCAATGGAAATCTTTTGACGAAGATTTCAATTGGAATCCGCTTGAGAAGAATGTCAATTGGAACCTTCTCTCCGCTCTCCCGCTCTCCCGCCCTCCCGCTCTGCAAGGTTCCAATGGAAATCCTTATCATGAAGATCCCCTCGTGGAGCAGTTCAACAGGAATCCTTCTTGTGGAGCCTTTCAATGAGAATCCCTTTTGTGGAGCAATTCAATGGGAATCCTTGTGCTAAGCTGTTCAATAGAAACCCTTTGGCCAAGGTCTTCTGTCCAGGGCAGAGGGGCCCATGAGGCGTTGGTAAAGAAACCTTGTGAAACCCAGATGACCACAATATGCTTGAAGGTTTTGACAAAGAAACCCGGTAACACACACACACACACACACGCACGCACACACGCATACACATATATACACATTTATATATGTATATACTTGATAAGGGACTCAGTGAAAACACTGATCTCCTTGATATGTTTAAAGGTTGTCATACGGAAGCCTTGCAAAACATATAGGTTCCTGCTGAGTTTTGATTTTCTGGCAACGAACGCGCTGCAAAGAAGCTGGGGGCGCAGGAAGATGAGGGGCGTCCGTCCACAGAAACACGAAATATCAGGAATATCTTTGGTTTCACAAGGTTTTCTGGCGAAAGCCACCCACCATGTGAATCGTACCAGTGTTTCCAAACGGTTTCCTGACGAGAACCATCCACACTATCAGGAATCTGCGTGTTCTCACCCGGTTTCCGTGCGAAAGCCTTCCCAGATATCAAGAATATCCGTGTGTGTGCACAAGTGTTCCTGCCTGGCGCAGTGTCCCTGGAGGGCGTGGGCCTGGGGAAGGAGCAGGAGGGGGGGGCACCCGCCCCCAGAGGACCAGCAAATATCAGGACTATCTGTGTACTCATATGGCTTCCTTACGACAGCCATCCAACAGATCAGGAATATGTGCGTTTTCTTGACGTGGCCTCCTTGCGAAAACCACCCAACATACTAGGAATATCTGAGTTCTCATGGGGTTGCATTCCGAAAACATCCGCGTGTAAGGTTGTTCGATCGGAAGTCCTTTGGCAAGGCCGCTCACTGGAGGAGCAGGAAGAGGAAGGGGAGGAGAGAGTCGAGGTAGGAGGAAGACGAGAGATGAATACAAACAGAAACGGAATACACCTATATATACATACATACACATACATATACATCGATATACACATCGATCATACCAAGGGGCGACACACATATGAAAATACATATATGTATGTATGGATTTATGTATGTATGTATGTGTGTACGTATGCATGTGTATGCTTGTATGTATGTATGCATGTATGAATGTATGTATGTATGTATGTATGTATGTATGTATGTATGCAGGTATGCATGTATGTATGTATGTATGGATGTATGTATGTATGTATGTATGGATTGATGGACGTATGGATGGATGGATGGATGTATGTATGTATGTATGTGTGTGTATGTATGTATGCATGCATGCATGTATGTATGTATGCATGTATGTATGTATGTATGTATGTATGTATGTATGTACGTATGTGTGGCTGTGTATATGTGTGTATTTATATGTCTGTATGTATATGTATATATATATATATATATATAAAAATCTATATAACCACCACCGCGACCTTCGGCACGGAGTGGGCGTGCCCTGAGGTCCGTTGCCTGATCCTCCAAGCCTCAATCACCGCGCCTGAGGAGTTTGGGCCGGACCCCACATTCTCAAATCTCGTGGGGCTTCTCGCGGCTTGTCGGGGTTCGGCGCATTTCCTCGCGTGGCTTGTTCGGGCCCAGGAGGGCCCCAAGACGGGCTAAGAGGGCCTCAAGAGGCCCTCAAGACGGCCCAAGAGGGCTCCGATGCGCCCAAAGATCAGCCCAAGACGCCCACGATGGCCCAAAGACTGCCCCAGAAGCCTCCAAGACGCCCCAAAATGTAAAACTAACTAATACCCTAAGGATGTGGGCCTACCCGCCTTTTCGGCTTCCCGACGCGACAAAACGGCCCGAGAGGCTCACAAGATCGCCCCAAGACGGCTCCAGAGGCCCCCAAGAGGGCCCCAAGACGGCCCAAGAGGGGCCCAAGACTGCCCCGAAGGGCACAATGACTGCTCCAAGAAGGGTCCCAGATGATGGAGAACCCGAAAGGACATGTCGAGCCCTCGGCCCAGAGGGCCCCTCAGGAGGCGCCAAGGGGCCCCCGAGACGCCCCCATGAGGCCTTCAAGAGGCCCAGAGAGGCCCCCAAGAGAGGCCACCAAGAGGGCCCAACGAGGCCACAGGAGGCCCCCAACAGGCACCCGAGAGGCCCCCAAGAGCACTCCGAAGAGACTCCAAGAAGCATCCCTGAGAACTCTGACCCAAAACCCCCTCATGATCATCGTCATCATCGACATCATCATCATCATC